AGGAAGAAGCAAGAGAATGCTTATAAGAATAAAATTAAAAAGATAAAATTTTGCATTGGGGATCACGCACTGATCCCAATAAATAAAAATGATAGATCTAATCTATGCCCCAAAAATATTGAGGCCGAAATTATACAAATGGAGGGCGAGAAATTATGGGTTGGAACTAATTTGGGAAAAATTGATTCCCCATTTTTAAAAACGAACATTCATAAATGAATAAAATTTACCAATTTTACCATTCCTAATAAGACGATCTCCATAATAACAGCATCAAGAAGTACATCTTCTTATGGTAGTTTTGAATCAATTTGCAATTGCCAAAAAAGGTACAACAATAAGAGGTGTCAATGTTTTAAAAATGGCATTAATTGTTCCACAAAATGTCACTTAAATATTATTTGTGTAAATAATAAATAATTGTTCATATATTTTAAATTAATTATCGAAATCAATAAAATATGTTGTTAATTATATGGCTTGAAAAAAAATATTATAATATAGATGATTTGCTTATAAAGAAGTGCAATAATTTATAACTGCAATAAGAAAAATTTATAATGTCATTTTTAAATTTGTGAATCGATGGTTTCAAATATAGCCGAAATTTTGAGATTTAAAAATATTACAAATTAGATTAAGTTGCTAGCAAATAATTTTATCATTAGGCTACAATGAGTTTATAAATAGCAATGACTATATTTAACCCCTGCTTATAATTGTATTTAATAATGAAAAATGTATATTTAACTTTTATTTAATACCCATGTTTATGTTCTGTTTAATTACTATTTATTAGATATCCATAAAAATTCACTATCTTATGGCCAGTTGAAATATAGTATGTTTAGACTAGGCCAGAAAATCAACTTTCACCTAACTCATCTAACTCAAAATCTATTATAGATGCTCTAATTTTTTTTAAAGATTAAGAATTGAGCTATACATTGATATTAATTTTTGGTTGATATTTTATTTTTAAATGTTTTCTCAAGTAAAAGCAACTAGTTTTGTTTGATGATAAAACCTCCCACATCTTACAGCAAATATATATATTGTGTTAATTTTTTTTATCGAGATTAAAATAATTTGCGAATTAAGGAAAAGGAAATTCCATATCATCATCATTTTCAAGGGATATTCCTTTGTCGATATGATCTGTACCAGAATTATTTTCATTATAATACTATACTGTATACATTTAAAAAATTTTATTTTTTTGAAAAATATATTTTGCATATTTTTAAATGTAAATTTAAATTTTAAAATAAAATAAAATTAAAAGATTATGATTTTAGAATTAATTATAAAATTGTTATATTAATTTTTATTATTTATTTAGTAACGAGCCACCGTTATCTCTCTTTTTAAAAAAATGTTGCACGCTAAAGATATCGATACTAAAAAAAATAGCTATGGAATATCGTGCTAATATAGAACACTGCATATTATATATTTCAAGTTCAGGATTGGAACCGAAAAAAGATTTAAAAAATTGTTTTATATTCATTCTCTTTTATTTCTGTAAATTCTATCCAACTAGACATTTTGTTAATATGTTGACCCCCCCCCCGCCCCAGACCAAGTCATACCTATCAAGACTAAGAATGAAGACTTTCAGTCAAACCATATTAAAATTAGCTTTTATCTGATACCCATATCAAAAAAATTATTTTTTACACCCCCCACCCCCCCCCCCAAACTACCCATTATGGGGTAGAAATTGACCTTCAGTTGATTAGATCTTTTATTAGCTATCGATTGATACCCATATCAAAAAAAAAATTTTTTACACCCCCCCCCCCCAGACCGCCTATTATGGGGCAGAGATTGACCTTCGGTTGAATAGATCTTTTGATTAGCTATCGATTGATACCCATAATTATTTTTTACACCCCCCCTACCCCTACACTTCTAGACCGCCCATTATGGGGCAGAGATTCACCTCCAGTTGAATAGATCTTTTGATTAGCTATCGATTGATACCCATATCAAAAAAATTTAATTTTTACACCCCCCCCGCCCCCACTCCCTTCCAGACCGCCCATTATGGGCAGAGGTTGACCTCCAGTTTAATAGATCTTTTGATTAGCTATCGATTGATACCCATATCAAAAAAATTATTATTTACACCCCCTCCCACCCCTACCGCCTAGACCGCCCATTATTGGACAGAGATTGACTTCCATTTGAATAGATCTTTTGATTAGCTATCGATTGATACCCTATACTAGACATATCTTATATCATAAGGCCAAAAAAACAACATTGAAAATTAAAAAACGCAACGAAACTCGTGGAAAACGCTATAAGATTCCTCTTTATCACGATTAAAAGGTGATAATACCGTATAGTTCTTTATCCTTTAAAAAATTGAAATTTTAAAGGGATCCCTTTAAATCCCGTGAAGATCCCGGATAGTCATGATCCCTTTAAAAATTACGACATATACATAAACACATGTGAATTCTTCTTTAAAAACTTTATATAGAATAATTTAATTTTTTAAAAGGCACTCAAATTATTTTTTGCTTCGATAAATGTTTCAAACCATTTATAAACACAAAATCGATGTATATAATTGGTTTAGATTGTTATATAATTTCTAAATATCTTAATATAAGTTGTATTTTTAAATTGTATAATTAAGTTTTTTAAATGATAAACTTTTAATAATAATTTGATAAAACTTTTTCAATCGATATAAGTTAATATTTAAGATTTCTTTTTAAACCAAATTAATTATTTTTTTAAATATACATTTTAACAATTAAGGACCAAACATATATGCTATAAAAAACGATACAAAATTCAATTATGTTAAAAAGTGGTAGCGAGGCACATTTATGAAAACATAAGTCCTTAAAAAGCGCAGTAATTATATTTAAATAAATATTATTTGTATTTTGTCTTAAGAAAGGGAATTCTTTGACCTTTAAATATGTGGATTCGTATTTTATGGGCCAAAGATTAAAAAAATGGAAGATGTTAGGGGAAAAATGTCCATTGGTGGATGGGCATAATTGGAGTAAAATTAAAGTTTCAATGTTTTGTATTTTGTTTCGGCTTGAGTAACTATGTTGCTTTTGATATTTATGAGAATATGGTAACACATATAATCCTAGATGAGAGATTTACCCATTGCCCATGGGATAGTTGTGAGGTCAAGTCTAAGACCATCATATCATGAAAAGTTAAAAGCTCTTAGATATTGGGAACGCGAGATTTTTTAGGAATAGAGGTTTATTTATTGACACGCTGTTTACACCCCTGGCTTATGATATAACTCATGTCGGCCCTTAACATTAGCTGATAAGTTGCAATTGAGGCAACTATGAGGTTGGACTATTCCAGAATTGAACCTAGGGTAACTCTTGGTTCTTCATTAGTTAAGAGTTCTCTAAGTTTTTACTATGTAAAGCTTCCAACCATTCATGACCGCCTCTTTTATCATATTTTTGAAAGAGTTGGATCTCTTCAAGGAGGATGTTGAAAAATAGAATAGGTTTTTGAAATCAAGGGTTAAAAAGATATTTTGTTATTAATATTAGGATAAGCTGCATCTATTAAAACATTGCTCTGCCATATACAAGGGCTGGATCCATTAAGATTTCATTAGGGGAGATTAGGCTGACGAGTAATAGTCGAGAAGAAATGAAAAATGAGAGTGACAGAGTATAAAGAGATAATAAGTCGGATAGAGTAAATAAGTTTTTTTTTGCGGAACTGATAAAATTTGACCATTGGCATAATTAAGTGGATGGGAGGCGACAAAGGAGAAAATATCTTACTTATATGAAATATCACATATAACATAATTAAAATTTACTGAAAGTATTTTCATTGAATTACCTTTCTAAATTCTATACTTTGCAAAAAAATTAATATTGTGACAAAATATATTTAAGATTATATTTATCAAATAACTCGTTGCATTTTTTTCTTATATTTTATAAATATAGAATTGAAGTTAAATTGTATTAGAAATATTGGCATTTAAAAAGAATCTGATTTATTTTAATTTGAGTGAAAAAAAATACACGTTTTATCATTTTAAATTTTTTTAAAAAAAGGAAGTGTGTTAATATTAAATCTGACTAACCTTTTATAAAAATAAATTTAGTTTTTAATTTAAGCAATCATACATAGACTCACAGTGTTGTTAAACGGCTCGATTTTAGCCAAAATAATATTACCCATCTAAAATTCGTTATAAATATCCAAATATTACTACAGTAAAATCTCCAGCTTGCATAATATATTTAATTAAAATATTGTTCGATTTTTAAAAATCGAGCTATTCAACAACACTACTCCTACCTATGTCACTTACGAATTTACCACTTCTGATTTTTTTTATTCTTGCCCCCTACCATGTGGGATATTTTTACAGAGTTTCTCAAAAAAATGCCTAAAATAAAAGACCCAAAATTCCCGGAATCTTACATTGGTATGTCTATTTACGCACTCTGACTTTGAGTGTTTTCACATTTTAATATAACATACCTTTATAAAAATCTTCATTCAAAATCTTTTTTTGTCATTATCTTAAGTTTTTTTTTGAAATAATTGACTAACTCTTGTTGCGTTGCCATCATTATTATCATATTTATGATTTGTAATATATATAATTTTAATTTATAAGTATAAATATTATGTTAAAATATACATATATTATTTAATAATATTTCTGTCACGATATTTTTATTCTATAATTTGATTTAATGTAACGAAAATTATGGTACCTTTATGTCTAATATTTTCATAATTTTTTGGAATAATTTGGTCTTTTTAGAGATTAATTTGATAAAATTATATAACTCGTATAAATTGTAATAATCATGTAAAGCATGGTATGTAATATAAGTATAATAATATTATGTCTAAATAAATAAAAAGTATTATAAAATATAATTAGTTTGGAAGTCATATATAACTAACGATACATAGTATTATATTTATGTTGTTAAGTGATATGATATGGTTAAACAAATGCTTTTTTAAAAAATGTTATGTGAAAATCAGTATTTTAAATATCGATTAACCCTTAAAATTTGAACAAAATAAAAATGTAATTTAATTTTTATTTTCACACAGAGGCAGAGGAGTAACTACGGGGGGGGGGGGGGTTTACCGGAGAATGATATAATGCGCTTGAAATTTGAAGTGCCTTTCTTGTTTCCTAGTTTCTATGCATAAAAAGTTAAATTTTGTACACCATTTATTGATTTTTACCTAAAAATTATTTTTTGTATTCTTCTTAAATTTGTATAATGATTTGAATAAATAAAAATTAACTTCCTCAAATATAATATATATTTATTAATCCTGATTCAATTCGGTATTAGATCACTTCAACGCTATAAATTGAGGATAAGCGGTCATTAATCATAAAATTTGGTCGCATCTTCCTTGGATTTATTTTATAGAGCCAATTTTTTAAAAAAAATTCATTTATAAATAGGAAATTTTAAATATTTTCAATTGAGAGAAATATTGATTCTTTTTACTAACTGATTCTCCTATAATTTCTCATATATTCTTGGAGTTTAGATCAGGACTACCACATTTTTATCAAATAGTAATATTAATATTGTTATTAATAACCAATATTTTGGTCGTTTTGGATTGAGTTTCCATTTTATAAGAATTCAAAATTTTAAAGGAAATTGATTTATTAAATCAAAACTATATTGATATTGTGGCATTTATATTTCAATATATAAAGGGTAACTATCAAGGATCTTCCCACTTATGCAACCCTCAACATTTAAAATTTTTATTGTTCTAAAGACAATTAATATGGAAAGCTTTTGATTGTCATTTAACCATATTGTATTCCTAACTATTCAAATCATCTTTGAACTTTGATTCATCGTATATGTTATTATAGCAACATCACTGGTCTTCTGTCAATTAATATGATTATTTACTAAGTATAGAGACACATCGAAATTGATCAATAAGCTTTCTATAAATTTTAGTAATATTGACTATAATAACCGACTAATTATCAAAAGATGATAGTTTGTTAATTGCTCTATTATATGATAAGTTTTTGTCAGTATTTATATAGCTTTTAATATCTAAATTTTTGTGGCCGCCGAAAAATGAGGCATGTATGAACATGCGAGCATAAAAACAAAAGCCAGGACGAGTTGTAAAATTTAAAATTAATTATTTTAAATAATAATAATGATATTTTACCAAAATTTTATTAATAATGCGTCCACAATCAAAAAATTTTGTAAAAAAAATGATTCTCGCATTTACATTATGCCTCAAACTCTATTCCGTAAATGTCAATAATAGATATAAAAAATTTAAATAAAATTTTGACTTAAATGAAATAAAGCTTATTGTAACCAAATGATTTAATATTATAACATGTTTTTATAAAATATGTCTACAATTAGTAACAACTGCAACATTAGTAAGGTTCTTTTTTGCATAGGAAATATCAAAAAATAGATATTGCGAATATATCGATGATAGATATAAATTTTCCTATGTGGACTGTTCCAAGGTACCATTAATAATCACATGTTCTATCATGTTAAAAAAAAATCTGTTTTATGATAGATGTGTGTTTAAGCGTTCATTATTGAAAATTTAAGTATTTCAGCTTGATCCTAAATAATCAAAACGGATAATTGCATAAATTTCTTGCAAAATTAGAGGTCTTCTATGAGATAGGTTTTTTACCAAAAATCCACCAGCCCCTTATTTAAAATTTTTTCTCTCCACTCTCCCGTTCGCCCAATTAATTAAAATTACTTGATTAGTTATTTTGGCTTTTTATATGTTTCATTTTATTGTTTTTTATATTACTTATTCAATATTATAAAATAAATAAATATTTTTTAATAAATATAAGCCCATTCTGTTCATTTTACCAGAAAAATCTATCCACTCGCGCGTTCGCTCATGTTTTAAAAATATTTATGACCCGCCCGCCCAACTTTGCAATGTTTAAAGTTTTTAACTAGCCCACCCATTGCATGAGGCGGGCGAGTTTAACCCCCCTCCCTTGTTGCCTACATCTAACCTTAATATAGCATATATACTAGAATAAAATTAAAAAATTCTGATATAAAGATTTATTTTAGCATAAAAATTATATATATTTTAATTTAATTTTACTTTTTATTGATATTTTTCAAAAGAAGTTCCGACATGCTCTGTGTTTCGTTTTGCCTTCTTCTTTTCAGGGAGTATAATGTCTTTTACAAAGGCAAATATAGTTACACAAACGTGTGATCCTATCATTGAAAGAAATTTAAAATATATATGAATGAGTTAAATTGAGGTTGATATAAGATAATCTTTCTTAAAACAAATTACTCTTTGAATGTAGTGATTTTTGGACCTTCAGAATTTTAAATTGCTTTTATGTTATATTACATTCGGTTTATAAGCCTACATAAATTTTTCTTCCATATTTTTTTTATGATGCCAGATAATATAATGCGATAAATTTCCTCAGATGTCGCATTTCCGGTGACCATTAAAAAGGTAATCTATATTGGAACTAATTTAATTTAGAAAAATAGATTATATAAAATATCAGATAATAATATAATTTTTTAAACAAAAAACTGAAGGTAACTAACCATTTCTAGCTTGAACAGCACAGTTATTGAGTATGTTAGAAACTTTTATTTGTAATATTTTAAATGACACTAATTTGTTTGTTAATCATCAAAATTTATTAATTCTTACTTTTATATAATTTATTAGATTTGAAAAAAAAAATTAAAAAATAAAATTATTTTGTTAAAATATGAGGAAAAAAATAAGGGACCGAACATTAAGGACCCCGAGATATCTTTTAATTTATGTAAGAGAAATTTTCAGTTTTTAGACAAATTTTGATTAAGAAAATTTTGTCCTCCATCTGCACTCCCGATCGAGATACTAGTTCTAGTTATCAAACAATTTTATTATGCCAGAGAAAACTAAAGATTCGTCAATTTTCTTTATCATTATTTATCGTCATTTCAATTTTTTTTATTTAAATTATAAATCTCAAAACAACTCGCAAAAATGTTTATATTTTTTAGGCAAGTTTTTGTTAAAATGATATTCAAGAGGGAATAGGAGGAGACGTTAATAATCTATTAGGTACCTTTTATCGATATTTTTATGTCAAATAACTTAGAGTTTTTGTGCCTTGATTGATTAAATAATGAACAATAAAAAAATAAAATTTCCCGCAAAATTCGTCCTTTATAAAAATAACGTAGCTGCCTCGAGTCATGGTTAATTTATTTCTCAAGGTCAAAATTATGCTTCAAAAATATTCATAATTTAAAAATAAATAAATATTTTTTCATCTTCCCGTTCTTTATTTATGTAAACACGCTTAAATTTATATTTGATGACTTTATTAATTACAAGAGAAAATTAGGTTCGGGAATGAAATAAAAAAAAAATCGTCTATCATGGAAGAACATTTAGATTAATTTAATTATCCAGTCAGCCATTCAAAAAATTACAAGGAAAAGAAATATAACAATAAATTTATATAAATTTTTTTTAATTAGGAGGGAAATTATTAACACGAAGGCATTGTAGCGACTTTATTATTGCGAAAACGTTATTGCAACAGCATTATAATACAAAGTGTTATCGTGCTAATTAGAGATCTGCAAAGTTAGGCCCGGCCCGAAGCCCGTTCGGGCCGGACTCTGGCCTAATTCTTTTTAAAATAATAGAGTTCGGGCTGGGTCGGGTCGGACCTTGGAAATTTTATTAAATATATGTAAATTTATCAATTTTATATTGAATTTTTTATGTAAAATAAAAATTTTTGATTTAATTTATTGAAACTGAACGCTATATAACATATGTCTTTTATTTTAAGTAATTATAAAAATTAATTTCTATATTTAAATAAATTTGGGCCTGGCCGGGCTGGTAAATTTTTTTAAAAATAAATTTCGGGTTCGGGCCGGGCCGGCAAAACTTTTTTTAAAAATATTTCGGGCCGGGCTTGAAAAATTAGGCCCGATGCTCACTAGTGCTAACACCGCGAAAAAAAATTTGCCAATGAATTCCAAATTAAGGAATGATGCGGGTAGAGTTAGAATATTATATAAATAAATGTTTATTAATTTCGCCAAAACTGAGGTATTGGTTACGGCATCGATTGTCTATTAAGGTTAGTATATATATATATATATTAGATATTGAGTTCCATTATTATAAATTATTGAATATAGAAGTTATGTTTAATTTCTCTGCAGTTATTTTAGCTATAAACAATTGATAGGCTATATAATAAAAGATGAAGCAAATTTTCCAAATAATTTAACCCTAGTTTAATTTTTGTATATCTCTTGGTAGAAATTAATATTTTTGAAAAAATTCTTAGATTTTATATCAAAAATATAATTGATTAAATTTATTAACTTTAACAAAAAAAGATATTTTTAATATAAAAATCAGAGACTTGCAGGCCCTACCCTTTTTAAAAATACTCGGCCAGGTATTATATTTTAAAACCAAATTTTTAATTGGCCATTATTAGCTATAAAAATTAAAAATAAAATAATATATTTAAAATCCGGGGCAGGTCTTGAAATTATAAAACTTGGGCTAGATGGGGCCGAAAAAAATCCAGGCTGGTGTTTGCAAATGGTATTTCTACAGGTCTCCCGACGATAATAAAATAGTTGCCTAAAATATTAGAATTAACAAAAATTATTATTTTTAAAAAATTCTATTAATGAAATTTAATCACTTTTAAGCTTAAAATTTATAAACTTAGGGAAATTTTTACGAAAAAAAAGTAAACCTAATTAATATATTTTTCATATTAATAAATGAGCAATTATTAATCAAAATGGAAGTATTCAAATTAAATGAAAATTATAAATTTACAAAACTTTAAAAAAAATTAAATGGATTTTGGTCAAGTTGCATAATTTTGAGGTTTTTTAAAATATATCTATCACAACCTAATTAATAAATAATTTATGGGATAAAAATAAATAACATTTTAAAAATAAATAATATTTTAAAAATAAATAACATTTTAAAAAATAAATAACATTTTAAAAATAAATAACATTTTAAAAATAAAATATTTTAAAAATAAATTAATAATGAAAATTTAAGAATCATGAAAAATACGCAGTGTGCCTTTTAGCCTTTTACACTGTGTGTTATAGTATAGCGTCTCTAATTTCTGATAGAATAATGTTATTTCTATGCGAATAAATGAAAATATTAATGTTGTTAAACGGTCCGGCCCGATTTTTAAATGGCTCTGAGATTTTAGCCGAAAATTATGTAAGTCTGGAGATTTTGCTCATAAGTGACAGAAAGGTTTCGACCTGTATTTGCCAAAACTCGAGCATAATATTATGGCGAAAATCGTAATCGGGCCATTTTTAAAAATCCATCCAAATTATGTAGTGTAAACACTATAAAATATAATTTTAATATGTTTAACCTACCAGTTCATCCATATTATATATCAACTGATAGAATTTGTTGTCACTTAAAACTGTCATATAATTTTCAAAAAGTTATACTACCATCTTTATATAATCATTTGTGGCCCTAGATTAGTTTATGGTGTTCTTTAAAATATAGTTTTTTTTAATTAAAAATAAATATTGGCTTAAATGAGGCTAATTACGCACTCCGTCAAAATATTTAATTAAAAGTTAATTTCAGGAAATTCAATTTGCATAAATATTATCAATATATTTAAACATGATAAAAATGAAATTAATTTATCATTAGAATTGATATTTAGTCTGAGTAACATTTATAATAAAATTTATTAGTAAAAATGTAAAATTTGAGGTGTCAAAATTTAAATTTAATCTGGCCAATTTAGCATCAAGCATCTTATTAGAATGCATTTTTTGTTTAAATTTCAAATTTTGTGGTACATTAGTTTTAAAATCATTTGGTAAGAAAATACTCACCTCAATTACACTATCCCCGGCCTCCACTAAAGGCCAAAATTTGGTAGTTACAGGTCAAAATAATTAATCAGATACTAATGTTGGTCTGTCAATAAAATCGAACAGATATTTGAACTGGATTAATGATCCAGGTTAAGGAATGTAAGCTAAGGTTAAAATAATATTATTTAAATATAATTTTCATTATATAGAAACATGTACGGCTAAAGTCTGGGTTGCCTAATAAAGGTTGGTATATAAGAGATATATTAAGTTTAGAAATATAATTAATTAATAAATATAAAATTTGGGCTTCATTTCACTTAAATTTGGTATATGCTAAAAGTCTAGTAGTTATCTGTCGCCATTATCCGATAATTATACCCAACTCGTCAGTAAAATCAGAGAACTGAAAGCTGTAGTGCAATCGTATCTATTTCATTTATATGTTTCTTGATCCAGGCCTGACATTGGCGAAAGTTAGGATAAAATTAATTTATAGATTAAATGTTTTTTTTTAATTTTCGAAACTAGAAACATGCTAAGACTAACCGATCCCGAATGAATTATATACTTATGGTTGTTTTTCCTTGTTATACAATCACAAAAATTTATGGATGTTTTCGGTGTAAATAATTGAACAGTTTTTACAGAAATACATTTGCGGTAATATTTTGTTGTAATATATTCATGGAAATGCATTCGCAATAAAAATATCGATGAAATGCATTCGCCATACGTAAGCGGTATGATATTTATGATGCTATTTTGCGCGAATGTATTCACAGTAATATTTTTTCACGATAATCGGCATTCGGTATTGACATGTAATCACATTTATAGATAATCTATAATGGAATATGTAGTTTAATTGCCCAAATTGAAATTAGCAGGGACCTTTTTAAAATCGGAAGCAAGCCTAAGTAGAAAAAGATAGAAATTATATCTATTAATGAAACAAAAATTTCCTAAAACGCGCCTGACTTGAAAATAAAATTTTTTTTTCAAACCCATGAGGGTCTAAATTTTTTATTTCTACAGATCTTTGTAAATTTTCCTTATTTTCATAATTTTTTTTGATTTTTAATTATAGACTAAAAGGATTCTTAATTTAAGAGAAAATATGTTGAACCCAGAACGGATCCTCATTAATTAAGGTGTGATTAATTAACAAAAGATATTCTTGATAATTAGAAACAATTTTTAAGATTTCTCAGTAATCAGATTAGACAAATTAAGTTTTAATAATATTTTCTTTATAAAATATTAATAATTATAAATATTTATTTATCGACCGATTTAAATATTTTTTATTATTATTATTAAAAATAATAATTTTGTTTTAAATTTTAATAAAACGCATACATTTTTCTTTATAATTTTTCATTTTCTTTTCTTTCATATAATTAATATTTTATGAAATTCTCAAGTTATTTTTTTAAAAATTAAATAAATAAATAAATATATAAATTATTTGATTTACTTCAATGTAACATGATAACACAATTTTTCTCATATTAGAAAATCTGTTTTTTTGTAAATTCTTTTATTACACATGCTTTTCTTACTATGGGTAAGTCTTTTATATTTTTAAATTTTGATTGATATTTAAAATAAATAAATTATTCACCGTAACAGTTTAACCCACTTACCTATATAAAGTTTCTAAAGAATAAAAATTCTACCGCCTAAAAGTGAAGGGCACAACTTCAAATTTTGTAAATCCTTATAATCTGGTTTATGTACTACTATATTTAAAACATAAACCTGATTATTTTATTAAGTTTTTTTTAAAAATTCTATAACAAAATATTAAATTGGCAACCCTTTAACAGAAGTGGATCCTTCGCGGCCTATTACTCTTTTTTAAAGAAATGGCCGAGGCGAACTTGCTTATGATTAAATACATTATATATAATTTCGGATTATAAAAATTTATTCTTTATATAGAAACGATTTTATGTTTTTTGATTTTATATAATTTATACATTTTCACTTATTTATTCTATTATTTTTATTGCGCTCTCATTTAATCCACGGCATAACAACGAGGCTCTGTCAGGACTCGATTGTAAACTCTTTTTATAATAAGGTTGGTTTAGAAAATTTTAATATATATAAATATTTACTATGTGAATAATTTGAATATTTACGAAGAAATGGAATATTTGTTATTCTTTTCGAATTAGTTACTCTTATTTGTTAATTTGGAATCGAATGACAAATTTTTTTTGAATAGCATTAGTAGAAGGGGCTGGATTAAATTTTTTTACTGAACATTACAAAGTATTATTTCAAATGTTCTCCTCTTTCTGACTAATATTTCCCGTATACGTACAAAGTTCTGGACTTCGATCTAAATTGCCTAAATTGTGGTAGCTTTAAACATTGCGTGGCTTAAATAAGTTATAAGCATTGACTAAGTACACTCTTTTAATCAATATTCAATTATACTGCAGAGGTTTGCGGACGTTGAGTGGCAGATATTTTTAAGTTTTTGCCAAGTTTGAAGGTTTTGATTTTGAAATGTAACCACAAAAATCAACATTACATTTAATAAACACTTATTAATCACTAATCAAGGTATTAATCACCTCAGAAGTCTTTTATGGTTAAGCTTATCGGAAGGGTCATTTTATATGAGGGATGATTTAGTAAACATATTTACTCATATTAAATATTTTAAAAAATTAAAGAAACTGTTTCCCTAGAATTGAATTATTATCTAATTTTATGTATACCTTGATAAATGTATATTAAAAAATATTTTTAAGTGCGAATGAATATGGAACTTCAAGCTTCTTTATGAGATTCAGATTATATATAATATATATAAAATAGACTAAAAAGAACAAATAGTATCTATAGATTATAAAATAATAAGATTCAAAAATATTTTAATCGAAATGTTGATGTATTTTGACGTAATTGATTTTTGAATCACAATTTAAAATCCGATATTTAAGACTCAGGGTATATATGTTGCTTATAGTGTTGTTAAAGTAACTAGGTAACTAGTTACAGGTAAAAAATAACTGTGACTAGTTATATTTTAAAAATTGTAACTAGTAATTAGTTATATTTTTTGGAAATGTAACTGCCAAAAGTAACTAGTTACTTTTTAAAAATATATATGTATAAATCTAAATAATATATTCCAGTAATTAAAATTAATTTTTTTAAATATATTTTTTTTAAAAATAATATAACTATTTATTAAAATTATAATACTATATCTATACTATGTAAAAATATATAATTAAAAGAAGAGAAATTAAATAAAATAATGTATTTAGGTTTGGTCGGAGGGGCTTAATGACCCAGGTATAGATATATATTTGGATTGACAAATGTTGATCGATATTCTTTGTCCTAGGTAGAAGCCCTTTTTGGATCACCTGTGATTAAAAGTAACCTTTGCCCTATTGTTTTGAATAATTTTTTGTCTTGGGATCCAAATGATCCACAGGTGTCTGAGGTGGCTATGTTTATTTGTTTTGTATTTTCAGTTTTCGCAATAGAGTTGAAATAAAAAGATGTGGCAAAACTATCTACACATGTATAATTCCTAGCGAGGGGTATACATTTCCAAGGGACTAGCGTCATACCATCAGGGTTGAAGCCAGAGGGTTCCAGTTTAGAAGGAATATTTGCAGATTTCAAGATTCTTTTGATGATCGAATGGATGACATAGTGCTTGGATAATTTTCCTTTCGAAAAACTACAATATGGGGGGGGGGGGGTCTAAGGCTATCGATATGAGTTTCACAAGGGATACATGATGTCGACGTTACGATTTCACGAAGACCTATAGCTATTCTATTCTTCGTTGGTTAATAAACAAGCCTAAATTAGAACTAGCTATAATTTCTAGCCATTCTTAGCCAAGATGGCATATGGCTGAGGCTGGAATTATTTGATCCAGCAAAAGAGTTTGTTTTCATACTCGGGGTTAGGTTTAAGGGGAGAAAGAGGGATGGATATTTTCTTGAACAGCTTTCAAGTGTAAGTATTCAACGCAATGCTGTATCAATGAAAATTCCAGTCTCTTTGTCTTAAATTTTGATATGAGCGGCTTGGAGAATCTTTGCTCCAGAGGTCTAATGCTGACATATGATGTGGATTCGATAGTAACCAAGTCTCCAAGTGTGTATGGAAATTTAGCAACTGAAAGGCTGAAATGCTTAAGGATATGGGGTGGATACATATACTACCTAGCTTTGGTGAAAGGGCAGCTTGCATACTGAAGAGTGAAGAGAAGTTGATATTTAAAATAGATCCGAGAGTATTTTTATAATGAACCTCAAGGTCTAATAATATTTCAAAGGACATGAAAATTGTTGATGAATGAATGGCATGTAAAATTATAGGAAGGAATAAAATATATTTAAATAAATAAAAAGCCTGATGAGCATGTAAATGTTTTGTAATTTTTCATTCTATTGAATTTGACAAGAAATTCATCTCTGAAATGAAATATAGCACTTTCACTTCCAATGGGTGAACATAGATGGGTAAAGCTAGTTTTGTCCACTACAATAAAATTTTCAAAGGGTGTGATAAAATAATTTTAAATAAATTTTTTAATTTTGTTAAATGTCTGATTGTGTTCACAAAGGATATGCAACATTAATATAATTTCCCGTCCAAATAGATTTTCTTTTCTTAAATGGTTACATTGCTGGGTTTCATAATTTTATAACCAAATTCAATTAATAAACCTATTTTTTAATATTATATTTCTTTACCTATTAAGCACAATATATTCCATATTTTTTGCCCTCAAGTTGCTGGTAATATTTATGGAATTTCATATAATGTATTTTTTTGAAAATTTTACTAAATTAGATCATAGAACTTATTAGAAATAACGTCAAAGACTTAGATTATTTTAGAATTAAATAATTTTTAAATAAACTACTAAATTAGTAATCATTATTTACTAATAAGAAAAATTTTCAGGCCCGACCCAGATTTTTAAAAAATATATTATATTTATTTTTGATTTTTATAGCTAATAATGGCGTTTCAAATATTTGGTTTTAAAATATCAACCTGGCCCGGATATTTTTTTTTAAAAAAAATTTCAGGCTCGGCCAGTGTATATTTAAAAAATTTGAAATACTTCCCGGTTTGTGTACTTGGGCCGGGTCTGCAGGTCTCTAACAAATATACTCTGTTTTCCGATATTTTTTTTTCGGCTTAATTATTTTTTTATATAAATAAATTGTATATTTTTTCAAATAATTGATTATAATTATTATATCCTATTTATATTAAATAAATGCGTTCAGTGAATAAATAATGCGTTTATGAATGATGTATATAGTAATTTATTATGGTTACTTTTGAAATATAAATGTAACTTTTTACCAATGTAACTAGTAACTGTAACTATTTATATATCAAAGTAACTCTTAACAACACTAGTTTCTATTTATTGACTGGAAAAATTGATCAATAATAAGTACTCATCAGGTTTTACATATTGGCGTTACCCAGATATTCACTATTTATTTTGTTCTAGCATGCCAATAATGCGTTTATCTTTAAATTATTTACTAAACGGGTTAAAGCATTAAAATATTATAAATATGCACTAATTATTAATATAAGTTTCAAAGTTAATGCTTCTAGAAGTTTGAATGACTTCACGCTTAAGGAGTGATATCATAGTTTTTATTTTGGTTTATAATTAGATTACTTTTTTTTTGTAATTGGCGAATTTGATTAAAGAATTAATAAGTACAGCACTATATATTAACCTACCAGATATTAAAACTTCTATATTATTCCTTCTGGCATGATTTTTTTTTTATTTTGCCAATTTTTCTATCCAGTTCAATTCACCTACCCTACAGAATTTGCAATTATAAGTATTAAACATTGAAAAAAAAATTCGGAATGGATGCTTTCAGTTTCTAATTAAGGTTGGCCAAAATTTGATTGCTTATAATTTTTGCATTTATACTTTCTAGTTAAAGCACTCATACATGCTAATAGAGCCCAAAACATTGGCATAAATTTAAGAATTAGGGCTTTCAATTATTTAGCTAACTTTAACGGATATGATATAGACTAATATTAATCACCACGGGAAAATTAAAAATACCTAATCAAATTTTTCTGGACGGCCCCCAAAATTGGTCGTAATTACTCCCCCCCCCATCCTTTTTGAATAAATGGGCTACGTTACTTATATTGTGTTTAAGCTTAAGGTCTGCAACGTGCGGCATTTAGCCCCAAAAGATGTCAATCTCATATTTTTTTATTCTGATACAATTAGAATTAATTAATTTTTTAAGATTTCTATTTAAATATTAGCTATAATTTTTAAATGAATATATGCGTGGGTTATATTTTTGTTTGAACTAGAAAAACGCTCAATTTATATAATAGGAATTAGCCCTGAGCAGACATACATTATTTTAAAATTTTTATTTTGGCAGGACTTAAACTTCAACATTTTAAATTATTTTGTTTCCTATTGCTTTTAAATATGTATAGATAATTTTCTTTTCAAAAAAAACACAATATTTTATTTTCCTCTAGCACATCTTGTTTTCCACTTTT